TGGGGGGGGTTCAGGGGGTTTGAACCCCACCTTGGCTCTGCCACTGCAAAACATTAACTTCAATGTGGTCTTTAGTTATTTTCAAAAAGGTGTGTGTGTGTGTGTGTGTGTGTTCCGAACCCCCTGAACCCCCCTCTGGATCCGCCAATGAGTCTAATGTTGTTTTATTTCAACTCAAAAGCTTATTAGTAGGGCTTTGTATTTGAAAAAATTCCATTGTACAGCTATATACTGTCATATAGGTATCTGTAACATGTGAAGGTCTGGGTGCCTATTCTCGAAAGTGTCCCAGCTGAGACAGAACCTAACTAGTTAGGACAGGAGTTAGGACATCCTACCGTTAGGATAAGACTCATTCTCGAAACGATCCTATCCCTGTCCTAACTTGAGCTACCGATCCCAGCTAGGATAGCGAGCTCTTCAGTAGGTGAGATAGAAAAACATTCACTAAGTTGGGGATTCCCCTAAATATTACCCATGATTCATTCCATAAAAAACACACATACAGTGAATAATGGGCAACTACAATCTCATTTACAAGATAAATGGTAAGACTAGAAATCGATGTAAAAAGCTTGAAAGCGGTGAAATTCAGCTTTTGGTGCACTTAGTAGATCAAGACTGACTGAATGAGTTTGGTTTTACGCCGCTTTTAGCAATATTCCAGCAACATCACGGCGGGGGACACCAGAAATGGGCTTCAATCATTGTGCCCATGTGGGGATTCGAACCCAGGTCTTTGGCGTGACGAGCCAACGCTTTAACCACTAGGCTACCCAACCGCCCCAGTAGATCAAGAAGAAATTATAATTAACCCTTCTTAACTCATCAAAACTGTGTGCTGTTGTAACTTCAAATGTAATTTAGGCGAGTTCTTTTGTTTGACAACGTCAATATTGGTGAACAAACAAGAACCACACCATGTTGACTTCCACTAAGATAGACAAGTCAGAACCTATCCTAGTATTTGTTCTAAGTTAGAATATCCTAGCGCTAGGATACTTTTCGAGAATAAGGTAGGACACCTATCCAAGACCCTAGGATAGTAAGCCCTCCTCAGAGTCTCCAACGACTTACTTACAGCTGTTGATGAAGGCAAACTAGCTACTCTTATCTTGCTTGACCTCTCTGCTGCCTTCGATACAATCGACCACCAACTCCTTCTGGAAAGACTCAAGGGCCAATTTGGAATCCATGGGGTACCCCTCATCTGGTTACAATCTTATCTCGAAAGCAGAAGTCAGACTGTCCTGTTAGACAATATCAAATCACAAACCTCCTTGGTCCACTGTGGTGTACCCCCAGGGATCGGTACTCGGTCCGCTTCTTTTCATAGCATACACGACCGATGTTGCAGACGTAATTGACAAACATGGCATTTCCCATCATTTGTTTGCAGATGACACTCAACTTCAGAAAAACTCAACTCCCAAGGACTTTCACACTGGTCTTCATAAAATAACAGACTGTACTAAAGATGTTAAGTCATGGATGACAAACAACTTGCTAAAGTTAAATGATGACAAAACTGAGGTGATGGTTATTGGATCCAGGCAAATGCAAAAAACAAATTACCACCAAAACTGTTCTGGTAGCAGATGCAGAGATACAAGCTGTCGACTCTGTTAAAGACCTTGGAGTTACACTTGACTCACACCTGGCGATGGACACTCATGTAAATCAACTCTGCAGAATATGCTTCTTTCATCTACGAGCCATTGGCAGAATACGCCATCTCATCAGTCGTGATGCAGCTCACGGTCTGGTCCAGGGACTTGTTATATCAAGAATTGATTACTGCAATAGCCTCCTTTTTGGTATTTCTCAGAAGCTGCTATCAAAATTGCAAAATGTCCAAAATACAGCCTCCCGAATCATAAGCAGAACTTCAAAGCTCACACATAACACCTGTCATGAAAAACCTCCACTGGCTGCCTGTTAAATCAAGAATTGACTTTAAAATATTGTGTTTTGTCTACAAATGCCTCAATGGCATAGGCCCAGAATACCTGAAGGAACTCCTTACCCCGTACACTCCAGAAAGACAGCTCCGTTCTCAGAATCTGAACCTACTCTCTGTGCCTCGGTTCAAACTGCAAACTTTTGGAAGGAAATCCTTTGTCTGCTCTGCCCCTCTACTCTGGAACTCTCTCCCTATCACCATTAAATCAGCAGTTGACTTTTATTCCTTCAAACGACTTCTCAAGACTCACCTGTTTTCACTGCATTATGACTAGCAACTAGTCCCTTATTGTATATATGTATTATTATCCACTCACTTTGTTAGCGCTTTGAGCATGGGCCTTGTGCATGGAAAAGGCGCATTATAAGTTCACATTTATTATTATTATATATGATATCCTAGGGCTAGGATCCTTTCGAGAATAGGGGCCATGGGCTAGAATTGATCTTCAGCATATCTGAAATAAATCGAGGATCGAACCCGTGACCTTCCGCTCTCCGGGCGGAGGCTCTAACCACTACACCAAGGAGACGGTCTACAGTGATTGGTACTATGGTGGGTTGGTTGTCTTGCTCACCGCATTCAACAATATTCAAGCTATATGGTAGCAGTTTGTAAATAATAGAGTCTGGACCAGACAATCCAGTGATCAACATCATGAGCATCGATCTACGCAACTGGGATACGACATGCGTCAACCAAGTCAGCGAGCCTGACCACCCGAACCCGTCAGTCGCCTCTTACGACAAGCATGGGTTGCTGAAGAACAATTCTAACTAAGATCTTCATGGGTCGGGACATAGAAACATACGTGACAGAACTTCGGGGCACTGTGCAGATTCTGCAGTTATAGGCCAGTCAGAAATTTTTTCTTTCTTTGTGGTTTTATGTCACAATCAGCAATATTCCAGTGTATCAGTCAAAGCCATTGATTATATATCCGGGTGAGCCATGATGCTGTGATCCTGTTTTTTCTTGTTGTTGTACTTTTATTGCTTTAAAGGTCATACCCAGAGATATGTATTTTTTTCAATTTTATGTTCCCCAGTCTCCTGAAATATGTTTGAAAACAATTAGATAATCATTTGATTGTCTGGATGTTTTTTTTAGGACAAGTGGAAAATGTCAAGCTTTAATATATATATCATGAATATAATATCTTGTTTTAGTTCTGGAAGGAGAAGTGTTTTTGTCTTCAACCTTTTTTGTATTTTGTGAATACTGGAATGGAGACATTTTGTTTGTATGCACAGACATAAATACTGTATGTCCTCCAATAAAGTGCAAGGGGTAAAACAGCGGTTTAAGAAATAAGTACCAGGCTTTTAATAAGCACCGGGTACATTCTTTATGAATGTATTCTCCCTTGATCCAAAAATAGATTTATTAAATTAAGGAATGGTCCCTAACTTTGACATAACGCTCACTAACAATTAATTTCACCCAATAAGCACAATATAAGCACCGGGCCTCTTAAAAGTGACAGGTCTGGAAGTCCATTTAAAAATAAGTGCCTGGGCACTTATTGGAGGAAATATGGTAGATATATAGGCTGAAATATTCTTCTGTGCCTTTGTTCTGATTCACAACACCGTAATGTCGCTCATATTAATAATAGAGAAGTTGTATGTCCTTATAACTCTCCCTGTTGTTCATCACACCAACTTCTAAATGCCACTCAAAGAAGTTGTCCTGATGCAGTTGTTAATATTGAATTATGAATATGCTTTAAAACTGCTCACAGCTACACAGCTCAGTGTTGGAGATACAGTTTGTGGGTTGGTATTCAGATGAAGGTAACTGACAGTAGATGAGAGATTACACATTATACTTTGCCAGGGGCGTTATATACACACAATAGAGATTGTTTGCAGTCGTTACGTACAGGCCTTGATGTTACTGTCGGGATCATTATTTTCAACAGTGGTTACGAAAATACAGAGGATTTGCAACAATAATTTGCTTTGATCACAAATTATAAGAGACTGCTTTAGTCCAATGGATAGAGAACCTGCCTTGAAAGTGCAAGTGGGTGGCTTGAGATCTATACTTAGCTATGTCGTAAAAGACTTTGAAAAATTTTGGCATTTAGCAGATAAAAAAAGACTTTGAAAAATTTTGGCATTTAGCAGATAAAAATGAATGCAATAGCTTTAGGTGTTTTTTAGCTTCTTTTAAGAAGTAAAATCCTTGATAATCTTGGATATTTACAGATAAAAATATACTTTGGAATTTTGGGTTAGAATTTGTCCCTTGCAATCTCTGCTGGTAGTAACAGGTGACAAAATGGACAGAAGGTCTGTGAGTTGGTTGATAATGTGTCTTCATGCCATGATACAGTGGGTCAATCACTGGATTATCTGGCCCAAACTTGATTATATGCAGATGGCTGTCATACGGCTGGAATCTTACTGAGTGACACATGTGCAGGCACGTACAGAGGCTTACACACGCATGCACGCGCGCACCAAAAAGTGAAAACATCATCTACCCCATAAGCCTGATGATGCTCTGAGCTTTTATCTTAGTAAACAAGAGAATTGTGTCATCAGTAAGTTTGGATTGACAAGGTTATATAGTACTCAAAAGGAGTTAAAGGACATACATGACTAAAGTGGTTAAAAACAGTGTTTGCCATGTCGTAGAAAAGCTACTTATTTGACGCACAAATTACCTTAAATACGCAGTGAATTTAGAAGCTTGCATCATTGTTGACACAATGCTACTAGGCCCTGGGTTCAGATAATCTAAACTTCTAAAACTAAATGTTTGCTAGTTAACCGCTCAGTGCTGATTAAATACCTGACCTGCCTTACCTGTTCCAAACTGAAGTTGACTCCCCAGTACATGTCCATGACCCTTCTCTTATGACACCAGGGAGTCATGATGACTCCTAATTTTTAAGCCCAGGGCAAACACTGTTAAAATACTTATTTCTTGTGTCTGTCGGTAATTTGTCGTGGCTCTAAACTTTTGTGTAGTATGTTTATGAATCAAAAAGCTTGACTGATTTATCAATTATTCTTTGTTTTTACAGGTGTTTACGAACAATATTGGGCATGTGTTTGATCTGGAGAAGGCAGAGGAACTGCTGGACGACATAGAATACTCAACACCATGGCAGGCCTTGAACTTCACCCAGTTCTACGAGGTCATCGAAAACAACTTGTTGTTTCAACTCAACGGCAACCTCAGCAGCAGCTCCACATCTCACATCTTGGAGCAAATAGACAATATTTGCTGGATGCTATGTGAAACAAAATACTTGAAAAAACCCAACAATGACACTGGGCAGGTGCAGAAGATGTACGACAAGGAAATATTCAAGTTGGTCAAGGTGTTTAATTTCTGTGTGGAAGTGAGTGAGGATGATGGTAAGGTTATTTTCCCGCTGACAATTGACGTGGAAGAGGCACAGCATGTGTGCTGTATCATGTCCCGGGGCCTGGGGCTCTGTCCCGACCGCAAGCGGGAGTTTTCCAGGAAGGGAGATAATCCACAGCTAGGTGATCAGTTGGTGGATTTTCCTGCTTTTCTTGACGGACTAGAGGCTTGTTTTCATGATCTGAGTGCGATGGACCTTTCTCAAGGGATACACGAAGTGCATGACATGATTATTGGAGATACACTGAAGAAGGTATGCACTCTATTTTCTGTTTGCTTTTGTGGATTTTTTAACAGATAAATACTTGTGATGGGGTAGCCTAGTGGTTAAAGCGTTAAGTTTTCACGACGAAGACCCGGGTTTCGATTCTCCATATGGTTAACAATGTGTGAAGCAATTTATGATCCCCCTGCTGTAATATTGCTGGAATATTGCTAAAAGTGGCATAAAACTAAACTCACTCACTCACTTGTAGGTCGGAGAAAGCAACAATTCAGTTTTCTTTTTCAGTTTTTTCCTACACTGCATCAAGGGTGGTATAAAACAGAATATAAATTGTCATATTAAAGCCCTTAACACAGGTGTTACTTTATGCTGTACAGATCAGGGGAATTATGTCATGTAACTGTACATCCTTTAAAGAGCAACAAAAACAAACTGCATTTCATCTCCTCCAATGTTTCATCTATGTCATCTTCAGTATTATCAGCTGTATCATAAGTCACAACTTACCGGTATAAAATATAGATCAAAAGATCAAAAGATCAAAAATCATCAGCTGATCATCACATATTCTGATTGATCACAACCTCAAACTATTCAGTAACTCTCAGAAAAGGGACACAAGTGATGTTCACAACTATAGATAAATGGCCTGTCTGGTAGCAGTCTCTTTGAGGGCTTTTTATGTCAATTCCTGGGTAATTGCTCATAATGAAAATTGCTCATAATAAAGACCCCCAACTTGTTAAAAATGTCTGTGTCTCATTTCCAATATGTTCACCATTTTCTGGCGATATTTTAAATATGATTGTCATTTGACCTGTGCACTTTAGACATACTGAAAGCTTAATTCTCTTTCCTTTGAAATGTTTGTTCATCTGTAATGAAATTTGGAATATGTGTTGTTTGTAGTTTTTCCGTTTACATGATATATGTTTAGGTTTTCACAATATTTTAATTTGTTTACATATATTAAACCTGTATACTTTGACTATGTTCCCTACCTTCTGTCAAAGTGCTGGCACTATATACTAAATAGTCTTTGAACATGTTTTGAAGGCAGAGGACACATTAAGCTAATGCATCAAACTCTTTATGACAAAAGTGACACCCCATTTTGTTCTGGTTGTTTGAATTCCTTTTTCAATGACCACCTTCATGTATGTATATGTTCCCTACCTTCTGTAGTGCTTAGTAAGCTACCACCGAGAGCTGAAGGTCCATGGTGTAGTGCTAGTTAGAAAAGCGCAGCCTGGAGAGCTGAAGGTCGCGGGTTCGATCCCCAGCCGCATCATACCAAAAGACGTTAAAATATGGTACTTGTTGGTCCCTGCCTGGCGCTTGGCATTACTAGGTACAACAAGGACTGGTCGGCTCGAGTCAGTATAATGTGTCTGAGTGGGGTATTCATGCTTCACTGTGGCATGGCATCTGATTGAGCTAGCACTATAAAACCAGCTTAAGTCTGGGCTAGTACAAGCAGCCACACATACACACACATGCGTCGTCATATGAGCAAAATATTCTTAAGTGGGATGTTAAAACCCATTTTACCTCACCTCACCCTTTTTCAATATATCCGCATTGCTGGTCATAAAAAAACAACATATTTCCTAGACGTTCTAGTAATTTTCATTCAGAATTATCCAGATTTAGTATGTGATTTGTCTTGAACTTCAACACTGCTCATCTTCTATGGTCTGTTTTTGCAATAATTTAAATTTTGATCTCAATCTGACCTTGACCTTTGACCATATTGAAAGTTAAAACTTTTTATGGCCCTTACTCAAATTTTTTTATTCAAAACATAATGGAATCTGGCATTTGGTGAGTTAGGAGTTTGACTCACGTATATACATTCCATGTTTCACAGTGTTTTATATTTTGACCTTTCCTTGACCTTTTCACTTTGATCATGCTCCTATACTCTTCCAAAAGTCACATAATGGCACTGTTAAACTAATCACAGCAGAAACCAAAGGAAGATGCTTATTTCCACAATGATGCCATCTGAATTTATTCATGATTGAATCTGATTTTCAATATGGTTGCCTTGAGTCAAGTCTCCCCATATACTTTAGGAACTTGGTTGACAGAGACAGGGCATATTGAGGGAATATAACCCATAAGACCGATACAGGGTTCTTTCACACCGTCGCAAAAAATAAACAAAAACTAATTGCAGTGCAGACTTCTTTATTGTAAAATGATTGAAATCAGCAGGAAAAAATAACATTACATATTGGTCACCAAATGCCATATGCCGTAGGAAAAACACGTGCATACAGACATAAAACCAGCAACAAACTGGGAGCACTGCTGCGGATCTGCTAAAAGTGCCAGAATGTGTGTATGCAAAATCTCCAGCTTGACTAATAAACACTTTCACCGTCAAGGCTACCCTACCATCTTCTTGTTGACATGTACATTGATATGTAAGTTCAGTAATCTTGAAAATGATGATAAACCCACTTCCTTGTGTGCAGTCATCGCACAGATAACATCCTTACCTTGTCAGCTTGCTGACGGGGTTAACCTCTTTGGTCTTTGGACTTGGAAATGTTATGGCTGCTTCATTGGCATCCAACGTTGGGCTGAGGATGTTCATATGAAATTTGAGCAACATAAGTCACAGTACCCTGCTATGTGGCTTGGGATGTACCTCCAGTTGACAGGGGAGTATGTAGCAATGCGTAGAGTCATCCCACAGATGACATCCTAAAATACCATGCCAGCTTGCTGAAGTGGATAACCTCTTTGGTCATGTGGACAAGGCATGCGACTTCAGATCAGGACTGGTTCGAATCCCAACATGGGACTCGGAAATTTTATTGCCGCTACATTGGCGCCACTTGAACCTAACATCTGATCATGAAGTTGAAACAGTTTATTAAAAATCACTTCATGATTTGTTATCATTGTGATCATATCAGATAAGGTGTTATAACAAGTAAACAAATCCTTGGCCAATTTGTAAGGGTGGCTTGCATGTCACTGATAACACATGAAAGATAAAGTGGTATCAATTCCATTCTGCATAGTGTCATCCATGACTGATTATCCTTGACACCTGAGTCACATTTGCAAAGATAAAACATTTAACATTATAGTCCGTTTGGCTCAAAAGCGGACCGATGAATTGCAATCTAACTCGAAAACTAATTAACAAAAAATACTCAATGAAACACTGATCATAATCAAAACGTCCAACCAACTCTGTGAGGGTTTTGCAGAATTTATGTCCTAGAAATAAAAAAGTTGTTTAACAAACTATCATTAAAATATTGACACAGTTCACTATTTGTTACGAGAGAGGAGTGCACAGAAAGGGACAGCCAGGTGTGCGAGAAAGAATGGAGACGGCACAGCACAGGTTAATGAATCAATAACTTTGTCGGCACTTGTGCACATGCTTCTCAATCACCAGGCTGTCCCTTTCTCTGCACTCTTCCCTCGTAACAAATAGTGAACTGTGTCAAAATTTTAATGATAGTTTGTTAAACAACTTTTTGAATCTTAGGAAAAAAATTCTGCAAACAAATCACAGAGTTGGTCTGATGTTTTGATTATGATCAGTGTTTCATTGAGTATTATATATTTATTAGTTTTCGAGTTAGATTGCAGTTCATCGGTCCGCTTTTGAGCCAAATGGACTATACATGTATAAACAAACGTCATACCTAAACTGGAAAATCATGATTATGATATGTTTTATTGAAAATTGTATCTATTTTGTTTCCATTTCAACAACTGTGTTTGCTTTTTTAATACACTGCAAAATTGTGAACCGATAAAATTAGTTAGATAAAACTACATTGGATATTTAAGTGTGCAGCTGCCAAGGCAGTCATTTCCAATATTCCAGTTCCATTCATGTTTTATGTAAACCTTATCTTTGTCTTTCAATTGTGAAGGTTAATGTTATTGATATGGTATTTGCTTCAAAATTATTCATGTAACTCAAATCAGTTTATGATATCTTTGTTTGAGGGCGGTGGGGTAGCCTTGTGGTTAAAGTGTTCGCTTTTTATGCTGAAGACCCGGGTTCGATTCCCCACATGGGTACAATGTGTGAAGCCTATTTCTGGTGTGATATTACTGGAATATTGTGAAACTGGCGTAAAACTGCACTCACTCTCCCCCTCGCAAGCTTGCTTGCTCACCCGGCCGCCCACCCACTTTCTCACTCGCTTTGTTTTCAAGTGTGGTTCTTGTAGTCTACTGGATTATTTTGGCAGGGTCACATGGGCAAATTTGGCAACCGACTGACCAGTTGGAAGGAGCGATGGTTTGTGCTGACGGCCCAGGAGTTGAGGTACTTCACGGGGTGTGACGAAAGGGAACTGAAAGGAGCGATAGATGTCACCAAGACCTGTAAGGTGGAGGTAAGGACAGACATTTTGTCAGATGCTTCATTTGTATACATGGTATGGGCCACAAATACTGTAGAATACTAATGTTTGAGAGAACATGAAAATAACATGAATCTGTGGAATGCGAAACCAAGTTTTTATTCACACAGTGTGAAAATGCTGAATGATTTAATGCAAGGTATGGTTTGAATAGCTTTTGTGCATTTCTGTGAGGTTGATATTGTGTGAATTTGATATTTGTGGCTGCAGTAGAGATAAGTCCTTGAAATCTTTGAGACGTATTAAAAGAATGTGAATTCATGACAATTTTTATAGATAACAACTTTTTAATTCTTTATCATGACATTTCAGAGATAATTCTTGCCCCTTCATTACAGTAGACTTGCTTTTTGTTCTTTGACTTGAGTTTTGCATGGTGCAGAATTCCTGCAGTTTGAATTTTGACAAAATTGTGATAGGTCTTGGTCAACACTACATAAAGGTTGGCATTTGATCGTGAAGTTTGTGAATATTTTACAGTCATGATCACTGCAAAAAATTCCAGTTAAGCATATTCAATTACATTTCTACAATCTCTTTCGAAAACAATTAAATCAGAATTGTTTCTGCTTTAAAAACCTGATTTTGAACTTTATTCATTTCATATTAATATGCTTCTTTATCATAGAAGAGCTCTTTCTATGGCTGCATGTACTGCATTCAGCTGTGTTGCTAAGTATTTTCCCAGCAGTAAATCCGACCAAAAAAAGAAAGTTTGAAACCTGTTGTATTTTTGGAAACCATGAACAAACAAAGGTGCAAGTGAGTCAAAATGACAGAATGCTTAAAATTCCACTAGACATCTATCAACTTCACTGAACATTGAGTGAAAACCTGAATTAACATTGTGATACAGTAGCACACCGAGGTTAAGGGTCCGGCATTTGCTATTCTGGAGGAGAGGGATGTGATGGGGGTGGATTGTGTGTTGAGCTTGAATTTTTCAGCCACAGCTTCAAATGCTGATTTGTGTTCAATTACAACTCACAGAGAGCCAAAATAACTTTCCTATATAAAACCTCTTGCATTAATGTACTTTTTGTTAATTACAAGCTTGCTTTTATAATAGTTTGCAGCAGGAATTAACTGGGACTATTTAAATTTTTTTCAATCCCAGCCAAACATAGCCCCAGCTCCAGTCCCAGCCCCAGCCCCAGCCCCAGATGTCAGATCCTATCCCCATCCCCAGCCCCAGATGTCAGATCCCAGCCCCAGCCCAAGCCCCAGATCCCTAACCCCAGCCCCAGCCCCTAACCCAGATCCCAGCCCAACCTAACGAATAAAAAGGTCAGACCCTAGAGTTGGAGGTGGCCACCTTGAAATGCACATGAATTGTTTGCAGAAATTATTTGTTTGACAGTATTATGACTAACCAAAACTTGTAGGTTATAAATGATGTTTCAAATGCTATGTGAAGATCATTTTGTTTTCTTGTTTTGTGTTTTGCATGTTCAGCTCATTTGAACTGACGGTTCATGTGAGCAATTGTTTAGGCATGTTGTCTGGCAAACTGCAAACATGTATTTCATGTGTTTCATGTCGCCATGATCTTAAGCTGGGTCAGTTGGTTGATTTTCTTTGGTGTTTGAGAATTTTAAATACAGCAATACTGCAAAATCGGTCAGAGATAAATCCATTTCCCAAACATTTTTCTTTACTTATAAACACTGCAATCTCTGTACTTCTACACAAGAGACATAATTCCAAATTATCAAACTGGATTTTCCAGTTCATGGATCTCTTGGTTATCTGGTTTGTTTTACAACGTCACTTTGCAGGTGTACTGACGTGGAGGGACAGGCAAAAACTATTTCCAATTGTAGGAATATTTGTGAATGGCGGCTGCCACCGATAGGGCTGGACATGTTTACCTATTTCAAGAAGACATGGAAGTCATCACTGATTTTTAGTGATCCATTCATATAATTTTCACAGCTACTTTTCCCTTTACATCAAACAGAATTTGTTTCTGAGGATAGTGGAGACTGGGTATTGTTTTGCACTGAAAATATTGTGAAATTTGCCGATTTTGAACCCATAACTCAGATTGCATTGCAAACAAAAACAACTGAGAACAACAAAGAAAAGCAGCAGAGATCATCGAAATAGATTGAATCATCATACTGTCACAAATTTAGACATTTTGGTTATTAAATGGTTTCTTAACTCTTTATTATATGATATTGTATTGAAAAAGGAGATGTAAAGGAAGAAGAAAGTTAATTCCCTGCACTCACTTTTTTCACTTAACCTCTAACTACAGCCATCCTCTCAGCACTGGAAGGAAGTAGCTGAATGAGCTTGTTGGTGGACAAAACATCTTTTGTCTGTCGGGCAATGAGAGACAGAAAGAAAAATACTGTTGCTCTGCATTAGTGGTGAATCAAACCAGGGTCTTCGCCGTGATGAACGAAGGCTTTAACCACTATAGTCTGTTTGCAGTGAAAACGTACTGATGAATTTCAATTTAAACAAAAAAGTAAATCGGATAAAGTGGAATTACGATGCCGAATCCTCATAATTTTACGTCACGATATGGCTGAAATATTGCCGATGTGACGTTAAATAATAAAATAATAACTCACTCATAATTTTACCTTGCCAAATGAACATTAAAATCTCAGAATTTTATTCAACTTAGGATAAAAGTTGTTTACCAAACTATCATAGTTTCAAATCGGTATTATTGGTTTGTATTACAAGGGGGTATGCACATCAAATGAAACACCGAGAACAAGTAGAGTTGGTCTAAGTTAACGCTCATCACGAACCGCACATGCATTTGTTTCACTGTTCCAACTACTGCTCTTACCCCTTTGTAATACAAACCAATAATAGCTATTTGAATGTATGATCATTTAGTTAACAACTTTTATCCTAAGAAGAGGGGCGGTGGGGTAACCTAGTGGTTAAAGCGTTGGCTCGTCACGCCGAAGACCCGGGTTCGATTCCCCACATGGGCACAATGTGTTAAGCCCATTTCTGGTGTCCCCCGCCGTGATATTGCTGGAATATTGCTAAAAGCGGCGTAAAACTAAACTCAGTCAGTCAGTCAGTCCTAAGAAGAATAAAATTCTGAGATTTAAATGTTCAATTGGCAAGGTAAAATTGTGAGTATTCGCAATATTAATTTCACTTTATTTGATTTACTTTTTGGTTTAAAGTGAAATTCATCGGTATGTTTTCACTGCAAACAGACTATAGGCTACCCCACCACCCCATAACCTAAGATGAACATCAGAGCTAAAACCAATCTTGTAAGGTGTACCTTTGAACCTTTGTTGTCTATTATTTGTATCAAAGTTTTTGTTGAAGGATATGTAGTGGTATATTAAACCACATAATAACATTAATATTGACTGACAATAATGCTTAGAGCCATGTTCGGACAATAGTCTCAATGGTGTGGCAGTATGGCCAATGATCCCTTATATCCTTATGTGTAAGACTGGGTTCTTGTATCAAGAATAGAGGGGTGTGAAGGAGGTCACCTCATGCCTTTGTGAAAGATCTGATGTTATTATATATACTAGAGTTGCAACAAACACACTAATAGGCTAATATGATAAGTTTTACGATTATGTATGGTAATGTACACAAATATTTATTGATGAATACTTTATGGTTCATATCTAGATGAATACTTTATGGTTCATATCTAGATGAATATTTAATGGTTCTTATCATTAAAAAACTGGTCATGTAATTGCTTCAGTTGAAACATTTAAATAATATTTTCTATTGCTAAAAGTGACGCCTATAGCTTAAGGGCCCATTTAAAGATAACACAAGTTAAGCTAAGGACTGCATGGCTTGGATATATTCTGTTTGGCATATCAGACTTTGATAAACAACAAACTAGTTCCAAGTCAAAAAACACCCTTAAACAAACATACAGTCATCCCTCGCAATAATGCATGGAGTCAAAAGGCGCATAGACATTAATAACACCATCAAATAACACATGGTTGGATGTGAGTGATTGAGTTTAGTATTATGCCGCATTCAGCAATATTCCAGCTATATGGTCTGTAAATAATCGAGTCTGGACCAGACAATCCAGTGATCAACAGCATGAGTATCGATCTGTGCCATGTGCCAACCAAGTCAGCGAGCCTGACCACCCGATCCCGTTAGTTGCCTCTTACGACAAGCATGTGTTACTGAAGATCAATATTCTAACCGGATCTTCATGGTCACATAACACATGGTCACATAACACATGGTCACATAACGCATGGACAAGTGACTCATGGACATTAGAATATATTGTTTCAAAATTTGATATTCAGAGATTTACAAAACAGTGAGGTTTTCATGAAAGCTATTGATATATGCAGACATCTTCCTAGTGATGAAAGCATTCATAAAATGAAAAAACCCAACCCAAACAATTGCAATGATTTTTATAACAGGTCTTGTTTGTATAATTTCTGCAAGGTAGAAATTTGCTCAATAATCACTACCAAACAAAACCATTATTGTCTATAGGTCAACATGGTGTATGTCAATCAATTAATTAAATATCTCCATATAGCGCAAAGTTTATGGTTTCTGATTAAAACTTTCCAAACCTAGTAAACATAATGTTTTGGAATATCATGAGGCTGAGCTTATGATAATATGTTTCAAAGACAACAGCGTAAAGACAAACATCGTTGAGGAAACCAAAGCAATTGCCGATTGTAACTGTGTTGTCTCCAAGTAGTGTTGCAATGGCAACTGTAATGTTATGTAATACATTGATAACACAGCCAAGTGTGCATTGTTTGGTTATTGATTAGGTGCATGCAGTTTCTCAAGTATATATGTGCGATCTGGTGTCGTGTGTCTGTATTGATTACCCTTGCCGACACAGTGGAGGTTAATGTTTCATTGCAGCTATCTTGTGAAGATGGAATTGACACATACTGTTCCCTGGTTAACACATACTGTGATCAAATTGACACATACTGTCCCCTGGTTAACTCATA